AAGGCCTACACTAACTTAAAACTGACCATGAAACTGGGCAGCCAATCTGCCATCAAATTTTCAGGCAGGCAAACACATCCTGAAGCACAAGGCTCATCTGGGCTAAGTTAATAATACTGTAACAGCAAAACTTATTTATCTGTAAATAAAATATACATGAAAAACAAAGTACAGCTGAATAATTATTGCAATAATTGTGTATTTTAAACATACCCTTCCCAGAAAAATGTTCTTGTAACAACTGAACAGGATCAGTCAATGAGTTTATTCTATGTCCGTCTATACACGGAGCAAAGTTTCCATCCTGAGGGTCAGCAAGTTACATACTGATGAGCACTTGCCAACCAAAGGTCCAGGAACTCTGGAGTTGCTTACAAAAAAAGGTTTCTCCACTGTGAGGGGACCAGTGATCTCAAGGCCTGGATGATAATGTCATATTTGGGGTTTGCTAATACTGCGTATTTTATCCCCACCTTTACCCAAAAGGTATTTCCAAGTGTCTTCTAAAATCCTGCTCACAATCTTAGCAAAAGAGGCATTAAGTACACGTTCTAGAGTTAGTTGGACTAACTTCTGGAGGACAGAAGCCATTTCTTCCAGGAACGCAGTTAGTATTACATCAGCATACATGAAAGTCCAGCTAGGAAGAGATCAGTGACTCACCCTGTCTGCAATGACTACCTTCCGCTTGCTTGTGTCCCCAGACAAGCCTAGAAAAAAAATGAGGGAGGGGAAAAAGAAAAAAATTAAGCTTTTCTCATCTAAGCTACCAGCGGAAATATAAAAATCCCACAGTTCAGATGCTAATACCACTACCCTTGAGATGCAGAAGTCGGGATACCTAAATACACAATTTTGTGTTCTACTTTTAGCCCACTCTTCTTCTCCCATTGGGAGCTTATTCTCCCAGTGTAAAGACTGTTCCAGCACAGGAATGGCAAGAACAGATCCGAGTGCTGTTTAACACTGAGAGAACGGAGGGCTGTCAAAGACTGTGTACATGAGGCTAATTGCTGGAGGATGCTTTGACGCAAAGAAGTTGAATTAAGTGCACTCTAAGGGAAAAAAGTGTTCTTACATGCCAACTCAAAAAGACAGTAGTTCTTGGAAAACTTAAAACTATCCACTTAATTGCACTATATCCATGCATTAAAGTGAGATATATCTTCATATACTAGCCATTTCACAGCAGGAGGATCTTATCCTGAGAACTCAAGTGTCATCTGTCAAAACCATGGAAGTTATTTGCTGAAAAGTCAATGTGTTCAGTCCAAATCAGACCATTCAAGCAGCAGTTTCTAGCATAATTAACATGTTTATCATAACAAGCAAAGTGCTCCCAAAGCATCCTCCTTCAAAATCTAGCAGTTCTTTCAGTCAGTTGTATAGTCAGAGACGTGAATGAAAGCACTTGCTTGGCAGAGCTGACAGAACATCACACTGAAAATCACCTACAGGTCATGCATGACCTTTAGAAATATTTTAGCAGGCTAGATATTCAACACCTGGATTCACCTCCTTCATGGCAAAGTGACAGCAGATAGGAATCACAACACAGACCAAATCCGATTCACCTCCTTCATGGCAAAGTGACAGCAAATAGGAATTACAACACAGACCAAGTCCAATTTTCATTTGAAAACAGCATGCTGCTAAAGGGATTACGACTGAAAAAAAGAATCCAACTGATCCATATAAGGGTGGTGTTTCTGCCAAACCCAAAGCAGCACATCCTACTTTCTCTTCTTCAATTCAATTCTCTTCCTTTTTTTTTTTCCCTGAAAAAGCGATTTCTGCACATGCACAGGTTTAAAGCCTTCCCTAGTGGTTTCAATAAAAACAAACAAACAAACACCACAAAAAAAAAAAAAACCACAAACAAACTTACCTACTACAGCCTTTCCTTTACCTTCATAAAAAGACCAAGCTAGAGCCAGGGCATCAGTGAGACGCTCTTGTTTCAGAAGGTGGTCGACTCTCTAAAATAACAAGTAATATTGGACCTTAGTATTACAGAAAAGAGGATCCCCTCCCATTTAAGATCAGCATTTCATGATCCCTGACAGCAAGGGGACAGGAAACCTCAGAAGCTCTCACATTGCAGTAAAGGACAGTATCTCAAAAAGATTCTCTCATATGTACAGTTTCTGCTGGACAGAAGAGACTACGAAATGTCACGCCCCAGTACATCAAGTCGCTGTGGGCTACATTTTAGGTAAGATGTTTGATGGATGGAGACCCACAGCATCAGCGAGTGTCTGCAATCACAAAGAATAAAATTTTTCCATTCCCCATCCTTGCCTCATCACTTAGAGCAGAACAAAAAAACTCTGCCTTGGTTTCAGCATATGGGTGTACGCATCCTACCCTTTATCTTCTCCTGAGCTCACAGTCAACAAGGACTGAAGCAGATCCCAAGTATTTTCTGCTTTAAGGAATTATCAGCACACAAGGTTGAGCACCACTAACCTTGGTATGTTAGGAAAAAATGTTAAAGTACTGTTTGAGAGAAGAGAGACTGAGTCTCAGACCAGCACTCTGTATTGCAGCAAGAACTAACTC